GAAGAGCGGGGGTACTGGCTATGCCAGAGACCTGATGCGAGACAGTCAAACCCAGCTGGGCTTAAGTGCCACAATTGCGACCAGAGAGAACACTCCTGGTGCCTGTGCACAGAACCCAGAACAGTTTTCTGCTACGTATGTGGCACGTATGTCCACTTTCTCCAGTACCCCAGGTGTAATCAGGGAAATGTGGAGTCAGCCGCGTAGGGACCACATTTACGCTGCCGGAGATCTCAGAAGTAACAGTGAAAGAGGAGCAGAGACTCCCAGACACTGAGGAGCAAGCGCCAGTGCAAGGAACGCCAACCGCGACAGAGACGACAGACCCAAGGGCCAGGGAAAAGGGCGAAAACCCGACATCCTAACTGACAGACCCTTGGAAGAGTCTCTCGCCCGAGGAAATCTTAAGTTGGAAGGCCTTCAAACAGGCAATGGAAGAGGGCAGATTACTATCCTTCCACGTGGATATATGCATCCATGGGAAAGAGATACGGAGACTAGTTAACTCGGGAACATCTCGAACCTTTGCTGGAAAAGCAGAGATTGATTTGCTGCACACTTCTAGTGGACGTTCCCGCTAAGAGAATCGCACCACGACGAATACTTTTAGTCAACAGCCAGCTCGAAAAGATGAAAAATGTCTCCACCATACCAATAATGGTTGGCGGACGAGAAGTCGAGGTAGAAACTCGCTATCTGGGGCTTTCATTCTGGGAATTGAATTCCTGAAAAAGACCCGATCATAGACTTATTTGCCCAATCGTGGTTTTTCCGGGATAAGCCCACCAAGTCGTTGGGATTCGTAGTCGTCAAAGAATCTGTCACATAGCAGTGTCTAATGGCCTTAATACGCCAGGAGAGGAGTAACATAGTATGCTCCAACCGCTGCCGGATGAAAAGATTCCAGTGATCAAGAGAAGTCCACCAATTCCCAAGCTGACACCACGCCGTATTAACGTGGAGGGTTACGAACCGATCCGGCAGAGAGTCAAGTTAGCCCCCCATCACTTGAAATTAGCGATGTGAAAAGAGGTTAACGACATGCTCAAAGATGAAATAATCAAACCATCAGCGAGCAACTGGAATAGTCCAGTCGTCATGATAAAAAAACCCAATAGGAAATATAGAAGTAACGAAAAGGGATGCTTACCCGGTTGCCAAAATGAGCGGAATCCTTGACGAGTTAACGCAAGCCAATTACATCTCCACTCTAGATCTGAGTGCGGCGTATTGGCAAATACCGCTAGCGGAGAACTCCAAGGAGATCACCGCTTTCATGGTACCGGGAAGAGGATTCTGTCAGTTCGAACAAATACCGTACGGCCTCACAAACGCTCTAGCAACCTTCCAAAAAGCACTGGACAGAATAATAGGTCCAGAGATGTACCCTCTCGTAATCGTGTATTTATACATCATTATCGTCTCAAGTGCATTCCAAGAACACCTAGAGTGGCTCGGACGAGTACTAGGAAAGGTGAGAGACCACGAGCTAGCATAAACCGTAAGAAGAGGGTGTTCTACCGATCCGAGGTGAAATACCTCAGATTTGTAGTTACTAGCGAAAGGTTACAAGTCGACCCGGATAAAATCGCCGCGATCGTCGAGTGTCCAGCGCCCAAGAATCCCAAACAAATTCGCAGATTCATAGGAATGGCATTCTAGTACAGACGCTTTATACTGAAGTTCGTCACAGTAGCCCAGCCGTTCCCTGGCAGATCCAGAAACCAAGTATACGCTTACTGAGCAAGAGTGTTTAGCAGTCGTATGGGCCTTAAAGAAGTTCCGATGTTATGTGGAGGGCTACGTCTTCACAATTATTACGGATCACAGAGGTCTGCGGTGGCTTTATAGCATGAATGATTCCGCTGGAAGACTTGCGATATGGAATTTAAGGCTGATGGAGTACGATTACCAAATCGTGCACGGAAAAGGCGCGGGACGCCTTATTAAGCGCCCCAGAGGCCGTGACAGAGTCACTCACAGCAGCAGTGGCAACCCAAGACAAACGGTATCTGCACCGCTGTCGAGATGTCGTAAGAATTCCCGAAAAATAGCAAAGTTGTAAGATCTCTGATGGACTGTTAGACGACAGTTCATAAACAGGGACTTGAAATAAGCTTCAACTATCATGAAGCATCGAATGACCCCACCGAAAGAGTGAACCGTGCGTTGAAAACGATGATACGGGCTTACGTGGAGACAGATCACCGAGAATGGGATCATCGCTTGGACGCGTTTAGATTCGCGTATAACACAGCCCAACATAGCTCATTGAGGCATTCGTAAATTTCTCCGTGAATTTCTGTTCTCTTGCGGAAAACTTTCGTATCACTGTTTTCTGAATAAACTAATAATAATTAATAAAAACTATAATATAAAATTTTATATTGGATAAAGAAATAAAATCGGTTTATCATCGGTCTTTATATATAATATAAATATGAATCACATAGTGTGACTCATTTTGAGCGCTATAGCGCTAACTATTCATGAAGGCGCACGGCTGTGGACCTAGATCACGGACCTAGACTTTTTAGATACGGAAAATTCATTCAACTCTTCATTCCATTCGATATTCTTCATTCATTCCATATTTGATTCGACATCGACTCACATTCGACTTCAAGTCCATATTCGAGTTCGAGATTATCGCAGTCTCTTCTATTTATACAACGGATAGGATCAAAAGATGTTTTTCTTCCATTTTTCCAAACTTTATTGCTAGCGTACACGAAACATCACATCAGTGCCTCTATTTTTTACCCTTGTCATTATATCTCATATTTTCACCGCTAGGTCTTTCTCACTTCCTGAATCTCACGTCTACCGAATCAGAAATGGGGGATTTTCGGGCTGTTGGGATGAAGTTTTTTACTCGCGTGGAGTTTGACGAAACAAGTCAACGGCGAGGTGGCCTGGTTTTCTCGAGTGAGAAAAACTCCATTACAATGGCCCGGATAATATAATGATCACATAGTGATTTTCAAGTTTTGGAGTTTGGGAAGTATGTAATATCGATTCCCTAACGAGAAATCGTGAGAAGCAGAACGGAAAATGATTATTACGGCATGTAGCAACGGGCCATTTTTATCATTTTTTTTCTAATATTTTTTGTTTTCATATCATAATAAAAATTGGAAAAGCATATGAAAACCAATGATTTTGAAATTATCTAGTTAAAAAACTTAACTTAAAATAGAATTGTATCAATTTTCGTTCGTTATTTCTGTCAAATTACCTCTGAAATTCGGTTGTGTTAAAATTTCTGCTGGCAGGAAATTTTTTGGAAGCATAAAGATGACCTTCTTAATAGACTTTAAGGGCCGGGTGGACTATCTATCGAGCGTCATCTTTGATTTAAATTTTATCTTTTTAACCTAAAATACATAAAAATTTGAGCTAAGTTTTGAGGTCACGAAAATCACTGGAGTTGGCATAAAAAAATAATGAAAAAAAAGAGGAAAAAATTTTGAAGGGCGCTAA